GTCTGCTCTGATCGGAGTGGGAGTTCTTGTTTCAGCTAAATGAGACTCGAACCGAACGTGTGAGCCCACCAATGGATTCCTCGTTCGGAGAGCAATCCATTGGTGGGGTCACACGATCGGTTCGAGTCCCATCTAGCGACTCTGGAGCTCAAAACGCGTCTGGAGTTTTGGCCGCCTCCGCCGGTGTTCTGGCTCACAGAGCATCTTTAAATTGATGACATGATCATAATCTGCAAACAGTGGGTGCATATTGACGATACAGTATGTGACTGTGTCATGTGCTTTCTGGGACATCAACCGACCCTCTTCGCTAATGATCGTGGGTAAAACGTTTTCCAATGCAGCCTTTCCCTTTAAATTCAGACAATTCTACGAATGATTGCTTCGCCTTTATGCAAACAAGCGTACGTGTCCGTGCAAAACGTGGCGCTGGTTTGCCTCCCCCTTTTTTCGCAGTGTGCTGGCGAGGGACGCGCGACGCCCACAATTATCAGCATTTAATGACCGGTCCGGGGCGCCGTCGAATGATTGGAACCATTAGGCAAAGCTGAAAAAAAATCCCGATCCGGAAACCATTTGGGTGTGCCAACGTAAGGAGAACGATGTTCTTGTTTCTGCGTGCGTCACCGGAAAAATAAGACGCCCTCGTTCGATTTTTCTCAATTTTTGGAGAAAAATACAAACTGAACCTAGTTTTTTTTTCATCTCCAGAGTCGCTTAATGGGACTTGAACCGAACGTGTGACCCCACCAATGGATTGCTCTCCGAACGAGAAATCCATTGGTGGGGTCACACGTTCGATTCGAGGCCTGTTAAGCGACTCTGGAGCTCAAAACGCGTCTAGAGTTTTGGCCGCCTCCACGGGCCTTCTGGCCCACTGTGCGGCACCTCTATTCACGCTTTCTCCCCCTCTTTGCGAGCGGGCTGGCTCGCCGGAGGAACGTCAGGTTGCGTTAGGATTCACGTTCGGATTTATATTGCGCCGCGCCTGCAGGCTGATTCCAAAAGTCGTTTTCGTCGCTCTGTCTCTCTCGCACTCGCAGGGCGTTCCCTAAAGGTGCGAGAGAGACAGAGCGACGAAAACGACTCTCGGAATCAGCCTGCTGTGCTTCGGTGCGCGAGGCTGGCTGGACGGACCGGCATGTCTTTGTCACATCACATCTTATTCCCCGGCAAGCAGGGCTGGTCGCGGCAGACTCCGCTACACTGGAAAATGGACTGACACCGTTTGTTTGCGATTGTTTACAACCAGTTTTTTTTTTTTTTTTTTTTTTTTACTTTTTGAAATTGCGGCGGAATGTCATTGCCGAATAATCCGAATAATATTGGAGTGTAGACGCGTGAACTCTGTTGGGCTGAAAGTTGATTCCTTTTGCTGCCCTGCGCACGACACGACACGTCTCGAGACGAAGCCACACTGTGCCTGTCGCTAGCCGCTGCGGCTTTCGACGGGCCCCTTCTGACCAGTGACCGCCACCTCCGCAGAGGCAGCGTGCGAGAGAGAGACGCCGAAAATGCCTCCATTTCTGTCGTGGCCAAGATTGGTTCGTGGTTATTGTTCCAAAGGCGGTGGTGTTTCGTTACATCTGTCAAGCGGAACTGGGAAGGGGGAAGAGAGAGAGAGAGAGAGAGAGAGAGAGAGAGAGAGAGAGAGAGAGAGAGAGAGAGAGAGAGAGAGAGAGAGGCCTGCTGGAGAACTTGGCGTGGCCCAGTAGGGCCCCCAGTCCTATAGGTGGTCCGTCAAGGAAGGGAGGACAAGGGAAACTGGGTGAAAGGCGAAAACTTTGTGGAATGAATGACGTAGTGACTAGTCGAAGTCCTCCCTCTCCTTCCTCTCTCTCTCTCTCTCTCTCTCTCTCTCTCTCTCTCTCTCTCTATCTCTCTCTCTCTCTCTTACCCTTGCGATACACAGCTCACCACACTTCAGCAAAGCCCTTCTCATTATCCGGCATGCAACAGCGGACGTCGTTCGGCCTGTTGGCACGTTGGCGTGTGTGGCCAAAACAACAACAACAACAACAACAACAACAACGGCGAATCTATACGTCTCTGGGGAACCTTGAGCGGCATAGTGGCTGGGACAGGCCGATACCCCTCGTAAAATGGCCTTAATTAAATTTAATAAATGTTATATTAAATCTTTATTAAGTTTTCATTAATATTTAACAAATACCAGTTTTATAAAATTTAATTAACTTTAATGAAGTTTCTTATTAACTTTTGTTAAGGGCCCGTTAATAAGGCCAGATTGGTGAAGCAGCTACCAATAATGCATCCAGGTAGCACGTCATAGGCTCTTTCCGTTAACAAAAACTAGTTAAATATTGTTAAAATTAACAAGTTTTAATTCAATTTTTTGGTTTTAATTAAAATCTTTTAATAAAATCCCTTGTTAAAGTTAAAGTAATTTAATTAAAGAAGTTTTGATTAAAATCGGGCAACGTTTGGACTGGTTCGATAATTTCGGATGGATGTTCGACAGAGAGAGACCCTCAGGCCGGGTCAGATCCCCCTCGACACCTGCCTAGAGGAACCAAGTCAAAAATCAGGAGGTCGGACTCCTCTGAGCGCGACTGGTTCAGAAGGATCCGCCTGCGCACCTTATGCTAGCGGCTATGCTAGTGAACTCCGCGAGCTAAGGGATTGAAGTAGACTGCAGCGCCATCTAGCGGCATACAAGTTTTTATTAAATTTAATTAAATCTTGCATTCATAGGACTGACTTTACATTATCGTATTTATTGCCTTGAAAAGCGCGTGCTTGATGTCGATGCTCAATTAATGGAAGCTAGTCCCTTTCCTCGCTTTTGTCCCGTTCAATTCACGCTGTTCACGAAGACAAGCCTCTAAACTTATTGACATGATTAAATTAGATCGTAACATAATCCGTTAACTTAATCCAGGGCAAGTGTTCACTTTAATCAAAGAAGTCTTTAATTTAGGAACATCCGTAACAAACTCAAATTAAACACCGAAAACGTTTTTACGAGGGACCGTCAACGTTTTGGAGGTGGTAGGGGAAGCACAGCAGCACTAGTCCGCCGGGAATCAGGACTCGGGTTGTTCGGCATGACAGCTGTTTTTAAGTGTATTTTGGCGGATGCGTAAAGCGAGCTGACTTCCCTCTGCGACCACATCTGCCGCACAGGCTTTGCAATGTTGCGTAGGACGGCGTCTCACGAGCCGCCTTTGTCCATTAATTATGTAAGGAGAAAGTTGAGCAACTATCCTCTACGCGCACGGCCCAGGCTTACCTTACACCCGATGCTCTTGCTTCGTGGTGTTGCGGTGTTTCATGGGGTGACAGCGAAGCCCAGCGAGGTTTCTAGGTCCATTAATGGTCCTTTTTTTAATGTTCGCCAAACCCGGAAGCGGTAAACGTAACCGTTTTATTTTTCTGAATGGAGTAAAACGAGCTTATGAAAAAAAAAGATACCTCTGATCACAGTTTCACCCGAACAGTGTTTGTGTCTCTCTTGGTGGTCCTTGGCTGGTCCTTGGCTGGTCCTTGGCTGGTCCTTGGCTGACCCTCAGCTGGTCCTTGGCTGGTCCTTGGCTGGTCCTTAGCTGGTCCTTGGCTGGTCCTTGGCTGGTCCTTGGCTGGTCCTTGGCTGGTCCTTGGCTGGTCCTTGGCTGGCCCTTAGCTGGTCCTTGGCTGGTCCTTGGCTGGTCCTTGGCTGGCCCTTGGCTGGCCCTTAGCTGGTCCTTGGCTGGTCCTTGGCTGGTCCTTGGCTGGTCCTTGGCTGGTCCTTGGCTGGTCCTTGGCTGGTCCTTGGCTGGTCCTTGGCTGGTCCTTGGCTGGCCCTTGGCTGGCCCTTAGCTGGTCCTTGGCTGGTCCTTGGCTGGTCCTTGGCTGGTCCTTGGCTGGTCCTTGGCTGGTCCTTGGCTGGTCCTTGGCTGGTCCTTGGCTGGTCCTTGGCTGGTCCTTAGCTGGTCCTTGGCTGGTCCTTGGCTGGTCCTTGGCCGGTCCTTGGCCGGTCCTTGGCTGGTCCGGCACCGTCTTGCTGACCGGAAAGCCATTCAGACGCCACGAGGCCCGCCCCCCTCCCCCACCTCAAAGGAAATCCATGCCGCAGAAAAGGAGGACGAGGCTCAGCGACTTTGTCCTAATCGCCGTCACCAAATTAACTTACTTACTCGAGTTGCCGCCCCGCCCAGTCGGCAGAAGCTCTGCGGGGATGCAGCCCACAGTGTGCCAGAAGACCGGTGGGGGCGGCCAAAAAGACGCGTTTCGAGCTCCAGAGTCGCCAAACAGGATTCGAAGCGACCGTGTGACCCCACCAATGGACTGCTCTCCGAACGAGGAATCCATTGGTGGGGTCGCACGTTCGGTTCGAGTCCCATTTAGCGACTCTGGAGCTCAAAACGCGTCTAGAGTTCCGGCCGCCCCCACCGGTCTTCTGGCCCACTGTGCGGGGTATTGTTTCACCACCCTCTTCTTCACTTGGGGTCGCAAAGCGGTCAAAAATGGTGTTGCCGGGCAATCACGCCACCTGCTTCCGTCCGATCGCCGCCAGAACCAAAAGGCACTCCCTCCTCTCATCTACAACACCCTCTTTTCCCATTTCGCCCCCCACCCCACCCCCCGCGGAAAATAAGTCAGGGTTATCGGTCTCAAGACGTGCCCGGGGTGACAAGGCGTGCCCCCGTGTTTGTTCCAATGGACGGGAGGGGGGGGGGGGAGGGGATTAGGAAGAGAGTGGGGGGGGGGGGATGACGCTCGCGGCCGCGCCAGCCACTTTGGAGCCAAATTGGAAGGCGCGGTGGTCACCGTGAGTCGGCCTGCAGTCTCTCTCTCTCTCTCTCTCTCTCTCTCTCTCTCTCTCTCTCCCTCTCTCTCTCTCTCTCTGTCTGGCTCACCTGACGGTCCTCGAGAGGTCCTGAAGGGCTCAGCAGATTAGATTACGTTCGTGAATTAGGGTCACCCTGATGGTGCATCAAGGGTCCCCGCGAAACGGTGATTAATTTTTAATTAAGCTGTTTAGGCCGGATGGGTCCGTGATGGGCACGGCATGGTACGGGGTGCAGTCCCAGGTTGAAGGCCGGGAAACCTTGCGTTGTGAGCTCCAGAGTCGCTAAACGGGACTCGAACCGAACGAGTGACCCCACCAATGGATTCCTCGTTCGGAGAGCAATCCATTGGTGGGGTAACACGTTTGGTTCGAGTCCCATTTCGCGACTCTGGAGCTCAAAACGCGTCTCTTTGGCCGCCTCCACCGGTCTTCTGGCCCACTGTGCGATTGGCCTGTCTGCAGTTATTCCTCGCCGGCATCAGAAGGCAGTGCCCGTAAGGGGGCGTCGCCGCGGCGTGCATACCAACAAGGGTCGATTACTCGAATCTGAATCGGGGTCTGTTGCCCGCACCGTGGAAAAGGGGGGAAAGGGGGGGGGGGGCGAGCGTGTGCACGGAGACCGGCCAGCAGGCAAATGAGCCTGACCTGCCCCACTGGAATAGTCATAAGCTGGTGAGGTCGCTCCTAACCTATGCTGACCGAACCCTGCCAGAAAGTTTCCGGTCGTTGTTTCCAACCGCGCTTCCATTGCTATTCCACCCACGCGGAAAAATGTATCATCTGGAGAAGCTGGAAGGTGCGACTGTCGCAGCGAATCGCGTGGGAAGCAAGTCAAGTTTCACTTCATTACGTCCGAGGCGGGCTACGCAGGGGTTACGCAGGGGGGTTACGCAAGGGGAGGAACTAGGCTTGGAGCGGGGCCACGCACAGTGGGCCAGGAGACCGGCGGAGGCGGCCAAAACTCTAGACGCGTTTTGAGCTCCAGAGTCGCTAAATGGGACTCGAACCGAACGCGTGACCCCACCAATGGATTCCTCGTCCGGAGAGCAATCCATTGGTGGGGTCACACGTTCGGTTCGAGCACCACTTACAGCGACTCTGGAGCTCAAAACGCGTCTAGAGTTTTGGCCGCCTCCACCGGTCTTCTGGCCCACTGTGCCACGCAAGGGAAGGGACTAGGCAGGGGAAGTGGCTACGCAGGGGTACCTGGCAGCCAAGCGACCGACCGGCCCGCCGGCCCCGCTCGAGCAGAGAGGAGTCGAGCTTGCGAGAGCTTGTCACCAACTAACTTGGCCACAACTCAAACCGTCCTTCCGGCCCTGCAGACTCGATTCGCGCTTTTCCGGAGCCCCCCCCCCCCCTTTTCCCAGTGGACCGGACCGACTGACTCAAGACCCAATTGTGCTCTGCCTCTCCCGAATGATTGGTTTTGTATCGGCCGAGACGACCGGCGGGCAGTTTACTCGTGTTTAGCGACGTCTCGTCGCACCGCCTGCTCGGCACAATTAGGTCGGCGCGAGCACTGTGAAACGACCCAAAGATTTGCCGGAAGGCCGGTGGAGGCGGCCGAAACTCTAGACGCGTTTTGAACTCCAGAGTCGCTAAATGGGACTCGAATCGAACGTGTGACCCCACCAATGGATTGCTCTCCGAACGAGGAGTCCATTGGTGGGGTCACACGCTCGGTTCGAGTCCCATTTAGCGACTCTGGAGCTCAAAACGCGTCTAGAGTTTTGGCCGCCTCCACCGGTCTTCCGGCCCACTGTGTGCAGGGAGTGGCGTGGCCACAGGTCGTTGATTCGCCCGGTGGTTGCAGGGGCCTGCTGCTGGCCGCGTCCCGCTCCAAGGACTCGGCGCCCTTCCACTGGCTGGCCTCGGACGGCTGGGGCCGGCAGCCCCACGTGGTCCGCGACGTGGAGGAGGTGGCGGAGGGCGCGCTCACGGTGGAGCTGCACACCGAGCCCATCCCGGGCTTCGACGCGTACATGGCGGCGCTCACCCCGGAGAACAACCTCCGCAACCCCTGGTTCGAGGAGTACTGGCAGGAGACCTTCAACTGCTCGCTGGCCAAGGCGGACCCCAGCAACCACAGCGACCACTGCGCGCCGGGGCTGCGGCTGGGGCCTGACGTCGGCTACCTCCAGGTACAGTGGGTCACCGGTGTAGGCGGTCAAAACCCCAGCCGCGTTTTGAGCTCCAGAGCCGCTGAATGGGTCTCGAACTGATCATGTGATCCCACCAATGGATTGCTCGTTCGGAGAGCTATACATCGGTGGGGTCACACGTTCGGTTCGAGTTCCATTTAGCGACTCTGGAGCTCAAACCGCGTCCAGAATTTTGACTGCATTACTTTGAGCCCCCGCGTGGCGGCCTGCAGGAGTCCAAGGTGCCCTTCGTGGTGGACGCCGTGTACGCCTTCGCCCACGCCCTGCACGCGCTGCAGCGAGACACCTGTCAGGGCAACGGCACCTGCTCCTCGATGCTCAACATGGACGGGGGCAACTTCTACCACAACTACCTGCTCAAGGTCAACTTCACTGGTGAGTGTCGCATAGCCGAGCGCGCAGCGTCGTGGGCTAGAAGCCCCTGGGTCGACGGTTCGACTCTCCCGCCGCAAACTGTTTTTTTTTTTCCTCAGTAAAATCACTCGTGTTGAGCAGAGAATGGATCTTGATCCGGACTCGCTGTGTCCCATTTGACGGCTGCCCGAAGGCAAACTCTCCCCCACCCTTCCTCCCCCCTCCACCGGACCTGTCCTCCTCCGCCTGCACCGTATTCAACGCGCGTGTGATAACAAAAATGAAACAAAAGGGAAAAGGAGGCGGGGGAGAAGAAACGAGACGGGCGAAAAAAAAATTGTCGGAAAAGTGAAAAGAGTGGCTCTTCGGGCGGCCGGGTTTGGCTTGCCGCTTTTCCGACAGAGAGCGGCTGTCCGCGCATTGAAATAACACGCAGCGGATGTCCCCCACACTCCGATTCTCTGTCTCCCTCGCACCCGTTCGGCACGGCCCGTGAGTGCGAGAGAGACAGACTCTCAGTCCGCTGCACGGGCGGCATGGAGACCGCAGCGATCCCGTTTCCGCAGGTAATTGCATGACTAGCTTGTTTTCGACGCGCCATACCGAAATCCGAGCGCGTTAACCAGATTAGCGTGCTGGTAACAGTGGAAACAGTGAAACCCGTGAAAACAGTCAAAACAGTGAAAACAGCACGGCTGCTAATCAGAACGCGCGCGCGAACTCAAATGCTGTTGAGTTTTTCATGTTTTTCCCTCGTTTTCATTTTTTTTCCTTCAATTATTTGTCCGCCTTTTCTCTGTGCGCGAGACTTTTCCGCCGCGGGGAACCAGGAAGCGGCAGGGCTTTAATTGTTGTCATGCATGACAATAATAGTGGCTGCTCCATATGCATTGGCGACTTTGTAAACACTGAGACGGGACCGCGGCCGCGCTACCTAGCGCGACCGCCGCGCCACATACGGTGCAAATTAAAAAGAGGAGGGGAAAAAATAATCGATCCCCCTGCTTTTCATTTTTAATCCAAATAAAAAGAGAGGGTGGGCGAAAAAAAGGGGATTGGCGCGGCTTTCGGCGTTCGCCGCACAGTGGGCCAGGAGACCGGCGGAGGTGGTCAAAATCTCGGACGCGTTTTGAGTCCCAGAGTCACTAAAGGGGACTCGAACCGAACGTATGACCCCACCAATGGATTGCTCTCCGAACGAGGAATCCATTGGTGGGGTCACACGTTCGGTTCGAGTCCTGCTTGGCGACTCTGGAGCTCAAAACGCGTCTGGACTTTTGGACGCCTCCGCCGGACTTCTGGCCCACTGTGCGCTAGTCAGGCTGGACTGCCACGTTTTGTTTCAGAAAAGATCCTGGAGTGATTTTGTTTTGGTGGATGAGTGATTTTTCGAACACGTCGTCCCAAAGGGCTAAAAAAGAGCTAAAAATGTCGGCCCTGGCTAAAATTTTCAACGACTGGATTTCTCAGCGTGTAAGTGAAGCTTGTAAAATGCCACGGGGAAACATTTTAACTCTAGCCCCAAACAGGAATTGAACTGATGTGGTTTTTGCGGACGCCGTAATTTGCACGTTGTTTTCGCTCCGCTGAGGAGACCGTCACCTCCCGGCGCCGCGGCGCGCCGCCACTTCAAAGGACCCAAATAAGGGCTTCCCCGGTGGCGAAACGCGTACTTTGCGAAACTGTTTGCCGAGGCGGCGAACTGATTGGGTGCGAACGCCATATCCTTCCCCGGATAGTCAGTCTGCTGCGTCGCCAGATCCGCCACTTTGCCGTTGCGCTGACTGCAGAGTAGAGGCTCGCCGAAGGCAAAGGCATGCTTGCCTGCCGTGCCAGCTCCTGTCAAGACATTTCCGTATTGAAATGCACTGGGTTCACTTTTACAATCAGTTTTTGGCCCTTTGGAATGTTCGTTTTGAATTTGTTTTCACGTCAGCTAGTTTTTCCCTCTGTCTGTAACGGAACTTTTTTTTCCGGTTGCCGCCCCCTAGCCATTCACATGTCCAAGGCCCGGCGGTCCCCTAACTGCCCAAAGACCCCTGCCGCTGGGGGGCCCTCTGTAAGTCTGGTTAAGTGTTTTCGATGCACCCTTTAGATACACCTAATGGCCCGCTGGGGGGCAGGCTGCTTGCGTGCTTGCCTGCCCTGGGGGCACGTCATGTACGAGGCGCCGAGGAGAAAACTGCTGACATCTATTTCTTTTTGCGGTGTCTCTCCTAAACGTCGCCGTCGGCGTCGCTGGTGGTTGCGGCTCTCTGTCTGGGATCCGCAACTTGGCTAGACACTTTTTTGCCAGTTTTGTCCCCGCTGTGCTGCCAGAGCCACTGGCCGGAACGCCAGTATTGGCAGGCTTGACCTAATCGTTCGTTGAACATGACCCAAAGTGGGATGTTTTCTCCGGTTCCTGGGGTGGGGTGGGGGTTGGACTCAGGCTGGGCAAGCAGAGATTAACTGGGCGTAGCCGGACACGCCGCCAAAATGTTTCTTGGATTTTGGACTCTGCGATCGATCGTACAGCAGTATCGAGAAAATACAAGGGTAAGAGTTGGTTCAAATACACTCTAAATGTTCTACAGTGAAGATTCTCCATATTCTGGTGAAAATGTTCCATATTATGGTGGTGCAGCTGACTTCGTAACATACCATTGAGAAATCACTACCTTATAGATATTTTGATGAATTTCGTAGGTATTGTGGAGAAAATCTCCACCATAATATGTTGGTGCAGCCTTTCACCGTAAGACATTTACCGTGTAGGGTCTTACTTGGTGTTTTGTGTATTAATTTGACGTGGCCTAACCACAAATTGATTAACGGCTAAAGGGTTGTCTAGGACGTCCAGGAGCAAATTATTACAAGCCAACTTTTCCAAGTGGCTGTACTCGCTCTTGGGCAGAGTACTTGATCTGCTGTCGCAACGGTCCCCCCGGTTCTGCTGTTATTCTTGGCAGTCCGTCCGGATTCGACCGTAAATCCGATTGGCCAATGGGGGACCGGCCTGCCGGCCAAGAGAAAGGTGGGAATTCCTTCTGGAGGGCGGCGGCCCTGTCCCCGCCTCGGATTAGAATCGAGTTAGTGGCCTGATTGGATCATCCCGGGGCTTTCGGAGCCATTCAATTCTCTAACACGATTCCCCATTCACAATTTTAATTATTGCGCCCTTTTTCCGCTCGTCTACTGAATCATCATCGGGTGGGCTGCCTCGCTCGTGCTGAGGCAACCTAACGAGGGGGAAAGCACTCGCGTAATAGTCGGGTCACTCTGTCCGTAATAGCACGCGTAATAGTGTGCGTAATAGTAGCGTAATAGCTGAAATTCTCAAAATTTGATCTATTTTACGGTTTTTTGGTCTGTTTTCAGCTAAATCGCTATATTTTGAGGCGTAATAGAGCGTCATAGGCGTAATAGTCGGGTCGCAGGTTTTAGGAGTGATTTCCCCCTCGCAACCTAACCTCCCCGGCACGAATCTGCTTATGACGGATAGCCAATCCGGGAGGTAATTTCAGTACTCGGTGCACACAAGACGCTCTCGGATTCCAAGGGCCGGCCCCGGGGCCATGACACGGCTGGGGTCTGGCCTGGAGGCGGGGCGGCCGGATCCAATCCAATCGTTGTGTAATTAGTTTACTTTGGAGAGCCTGCGCCGCCACGCTGCTAGTACGAGCCGGTGTCCGCAGACCGACCACTTACGGGCCTTAGCACCATGACCCGTAACACGCAGCCAACCTGCGCGGTCCTTGAATCGAAACGCCTGCCTGATCGGATCCAACAGCTCACGTCTCACAGTGGGCCAGAAGACCGGCGCAGGCGGCCGAAACTCTACACGCGTTTTGAGCTCCAGAGTCGCTAAATGGGACTCGAACCGACCGTGTGACCCCACCAATGGATTCCTCGTTCGGAGAGCAATCCATTGGTGAGGTCACACGTTCGATTGGAGCCCCTTTTTAGCGACTCTGGAGCTCAAAACGCGTTTAGAGTTCCGGCCGCCTGCGGCGGTCTGCGCCGGGTACTGACCGGTACTGACCCACCGTGCGTCTCTTGCACTGCACCAGCACCACCTCGCTCACTTTTCCTCGAACACCGGTCCCACCCCAAAGTGTGCATTAAATTTAACTTGTCCCTCATTCGGAAGCCCCCCGAATAGCAACCCGCACCCATCATCCCCCACCTGACGGCCCCCGAATTATCCATGTTAACAGACCTCCTCCTCGCGTGTAAGCCGATTTCGTTTTAAACTTGCAGGCTCGTTCATCGATTCGCCTCTCTCTCTCTCTCTCTCTCTCTCTCTCTCTCTCTCTCTCTCTCTCTCTCTCTCTCTCTCTCTCTCTCTCTCTCTCTCTCTCTCTCCTCTCTCTCTCTGGGTTTATCGTCCGGCGCTAATGGTTGACGCGACTCAGGTGCAGGAAGCCTTGATGAGGTCCTGGCCGGAAAAGGTCAGCCCTTTCGGGATGCGACGCCGCGGGAAAGAGGACCGCTGCACCAGGAAATTTATTTTAGAGGGGAAGTCCGTGGCGCGGCGGCCGGGCCTGCCGGGACGAAGGGGTGGCGGTGTCGTGTGCGGCGCTCGGAAACGATTTGGAACTAATCACTTTCCCGATTGGGGTAAGTTCGGCCGGTTCGGCGGCGGCCGGCGAACAGGCTCCCGATCCCGGCGGGACCTCGACGCCATCCTGGCATCCCGGGGAAGGACGCGTTGCACAGCGGGACCCTCTGCTGCCCCAACACACCCTGTCAATCCCCCCCCCTCTCTCTCTCTCTCTCTCTCTCTCTCTCTCTCTCTCTCTCTCTCTCTCTCTCTCTCTCTCTCTCTCTCTCTCTCTCTCTCTCTCTCTCTCTCTCTCTCTCTCTCTCTCAGACTTCACACCTCAAAAGCGTCTCACCACGGTCCCGGGATAATAATCCCCGGGGCAACTTTGCGCACGAAAAATTACACGGTGTCGCGAATTTCGAATTTTCTCTTTCCTGCGTGCCGCCTGCCTGCACTTTCCCCCTCGTGTTGTTACAACATTTGCCGGCGGCTT